TAAAGTCTCAAAACCAAAGAGATATTCTTTATAAAAGTTTAGAGTCAGCCACACCTACCTAAAACGCCTCATTCTAACACGTATTGTTGACGCTGTAGCCATGTCGTGAAGGCGCTGTGTTTTTCGTTGTGAAAGCGAAACTACTTTGTTTGGTCTTCCAAAAGAGGACACGACTACAAATCAGTGGTTAAGTTGTATTTACAACACTGTTCCAGAACAGTTTAACCCAAATATCCAGATGTGTGCAGCACATTTTATGGAGGACTGTTTACTGATCCTGGGAGAGTAACGTTAGGCTACAATGCCGGCTGTTCTGACTCACAGTCTGTAAGTACGTTTTAATTTAAGGGATTTGCCACTGATGATTCAAATGCGAGTGTTGGGCAGTGTAGAGTAGCACTTGTTGTTTGTCATTTCTCTGATCACAAATGCAGACAGAGTTTTATATTTACGCGGTGCGATGCAATGCAACGCGTAAAAAGACAGTATAAGTGTTTATAATCAGTAATTATGTCCCCACTGGATGCAACAAATGCCTCGTTTGTAATGGGTTTTAATGTTTTTGTCTCGTCGCTCCGGCCGGGACACGGCATCAACAGTATGTGAGGGGCGTAACATTTCCGTCTCACGCTTGAGGTATTCGGCCAATCACAACGCATTGGATAGCTGGCCAATCAGAGCACACCTCGCTTTTCAGACCGATGAGCTTTGTAAAAAATCGACGCGTTTCAAAAAGGCGGGGCATAGAGGAGAAACAATAATGTACAGTATGTGGAAAATAATGTGTTTTTTTTACTTTAAACCGCATAAACACATTTCATTACACCAAATATACAAAATAATGTTATTTTTGGCAGCATCATAACTGTTCTAACTGATTGTGTATAGGATTTAATGCAGTTTTAAAGTGATTCTTGACCTCTCAGGCGCTGTCCCAGTGCGGCAAAGTGCAGTGGTACCACCCTCAGAAACCAGCAGCACAAAAAAAGGAGACGTAATCGACCTCACACTAGAGAGCTCATCTGATGATGAAGAGGACAGCGATCCTCCTCTGAAAAAGCGCTGTGTCTACATGTCAAAGGCTGAGGAGATGCACAACACAGGGTTTGTGTTTATTAATTCTCTAGAAATCAGACCAGACATTTCTGTGTACCTCTTCTTTAAAGGAACACTCCACTATTTTTGAAAATAGGCTTATTTTCCAACTCCCCTTGAGTTAACCAGTTGAGTTTTACTGTTTTCGAATCCATTCAGCCGATCTCCGGGTCTGGCGGTAGCACTTTTAGCTGCAGCTTAGCATAGATCATTGAATCTGATTAGACCGTTAGCATCTCGCTCAAAAATGTCCAAAGAGTTTCGATATTTTTCCTTTTTAAAATTTTACTCTTCTGTAGTTACATCGTGTACTAAGACGTAATAATCAAGGAACTTTGCTACTGTACCATGGGTGCAGTAGGCACAATGATATTACGCAGCGCCTGAAAATAGTCCCCAGCTAGGTAACTTCCAACGGAAGGCACGCTCCCTGTTCAAGCAGGTGGTCACATTGGTTATGTTGGCTGAAGTTAGCCTATTTTCAGGCGCTGCATAATATCATTGCGCCTGCTGTACCCATGGTACGGCAGCAAAGTTCCTTGATTATTACGCCAGAATGAGAGTATAGTTCCTAGCCATATCGGCCTAAAAAAATCACAACTTTTCATTTTCCATTGGTCTTGGTACACGATGTAACTACAGAAGAGTCACGTTTTAAATAGGAAAAATATAGAAAATCTTTGGTCATTTTTGAGCGAGATGCTAACGGTCTAATCAAATTCAATGATCTATGCTGAGCTACAGCTAAAAGTGCTAACGCCAGACCTGGAGATAAACTCAACTGTTTAACTGGAAAATGAGCCTGTTTTCAAAAATAGTGGAGTGTTCCATTAAGCCTTGCCCTTTCATGACCATATTTTGAATAAACCCTAAACTGTACAATAGTCAAATTATCCATGGTGATGGGAAAACCTGAAATGTTAGGAAATACTAAAAATGTAATATCCAGACTTGAAAAAGTCAGCCAAATTCATAAAAGCTTTTAAGAAAATTTAAAAAATGCTGTTGCAAAATGTTCATTTATTTATTTTTAAATCATCATTAGGCATGGAAATTTATAGGTGAATAGATGTTGGCACCCTGTAAGCTTTAGTATCGCTAATATATAGATGCATTGGATAAAATGATCCAGAATGATTTTAAAAAATCTTCAAAAAGTTAACTGCAGTGGAACCTCCATTTCTCAATGTTGGTTTGTTTATTGGTTTTCATATTTTCCTTTTTCCTCTTTTAGGGTCCTGACTTATCAGCCATCAACAGTTCGGGTGCCAAATGTCCAGGCGCTAGACACCTCATACCTGACCTCCTCAATAACGGACTACTCCGTTCCATTCCACCATTCTACCTTATCCACTCTTCCCACAGATATGCAAAGTATGTACTTAGCTAGTCTGCCATCCAATCAAGTATGTTTTCCTTCGTGATCAAGATTTAACACAAAAACAAATGTTTGTGTCTTTTCCAAAGGTCTTGATTTATTTTCTCTGATACAAGGGGATCCACAGGTATATGCTTTCAGAGAATTATTCTCTCAAAGAAATATTGAGATTGCATGTATCTTACATATTTTAATAGCCTGCACAGCTGTTTTCCAGTAGTTTTCTTTGTTTCTTCAGCAGCATTACAGAGGCCCTATATTTTTAGACAACCTCTCCAGCAGCCTTCAGAGTGCCACCACCAGCAGCGGCCTGGTTTCCTCATCAGCTCCGTACGAGACGGCAACTCATAGCAGCAGCTCGAGTCACGAGACGGGTGTCATTACGGGAGGATCTTCAGGCCTATCAGACATTATTTCACTAGACTGAATCCTGGCACATCTTTATTGGCCAGTCACCAAAACAGCTACACTTAAGTCAAGTTGGCGAAGTGAAAAATATTTTCTACGTTTAACTCTGGACTTCAAGAATCATGTTTCGACAAGGACCCAGAAGGACTACTATGAAGATCTCTAAATGTTTTGGCTGGGTCAGCAACAGTGCTGTTTTAAAAAGCAAACTCGAATCAAGCTGTTCTCCCTTTGAACTGGGGAAACTGCCAGATACACAGTGACTCTCATCCGTTAGCTGTATGAGTGGAGGAGCAGAATGAAACAAACGGCATAAATGAGTGGACTAGAAAGCTCAGACGAGTCTAATATTGTCTACATTGTGTGTTTTGCATTGGCGGTTCTGCAGTTGAAACGGCAGCAGGTTTTCAGCGGCAGCTCAGTTTATGTTGTCTCTTCGATATCAGCAGTGCAATTATTTTTTGTTAGAAGACTTCCGTTTTAGCAATAAAAAAACAGTTTTATAATGTAAAATGTTTACTTGTCTTATATTAAGGCAGAATGCATAAGCAGATTTTTTTTGGTGGTTATTTGCTCAAGAGCCATCAGATTCCCTTTTGCTGATGTGGTGAACTTTTATTTTCAATCTGTAAGTTTATATGAAAGGTGTTTTGGCTCAATCTCAACACCATGTTCACCTCAAAAATTGTAATATGACCGTTGTTAAAACAACGAGTAATTTGTGTCATTTCATGGTTCTTGGTCAGTTAGCAACCTGCAGGCATAATGAATATTGAGCCATTCATTTTATTATTATTTATTTTTTATTATTATGATTATGCAAGTTTTGATATAGGATGGGGATCTTTTTTCTTTTACAAATCTGCTTTTATTGCTAATGGTTATTTACTTGTGGTTTGAGTTAATCTAATTTATTTTACTGGATTATGAGCCATACAACATACTGTCATTTTGACTAAGTCTGAAGACATGTAAGAGGCTGCTTATTTATTTTAGACGTTCCCCCTTGTTACATATGTACTATTTTGAGTTGGATGTAAAAAAAACAAAAACAAAGATGTGCTGTAAATGTTGATACAGGACTTTTATTGTCCCTCCCTGTCAGGGTTGCGGTTTTGAATTGACATAGCTCTCCATTGATAATGGCACAGGTAATGTTGTTGAGAAACTTGAATTCTTTGCCAAAAGGAGGGCACAGTTCATGATGATTTATATACATCCTAAGAAAACCAATACCAATACACCAATACACATTACACAGTGATTAGAGCAATATTTCATATCCATCTGGAAAAATATATTTTTAAAGTTGAATTAAGTCCAGATTGCTGTGTTGTGCTGGCTTTACTTTATGTATGGATACATCCACACAGTTTGGTTTAAAGTGCTCAGATTTTATTTGCTGCCAGATTGTGCAGCTTTGAATATTTAAATTAAGCTCTGTTGATTTTCTGTGTAAACGTAATGCAATACACTTCAGAGTCATCACGTTAACATTGTAAGATTAATAGCTTCAATCCCCATGTACAATCCAGAGAAATTTATAATTTATCCAGGAAGTTGTCCAGTGCTGGGATGCCCTCTTTCAGACCTTTGCGTTTACGGGTCTCAGCCACAATTTGGCTAGGTTTGCTGTTTACATCGTATGGATCACCTGGCAAAATCTGCCAGTGGTTAAATATACACTGAGGGAAGGCTTGTCCACCAGTGTTAGACCTCAGGTCTGCTGTGAAACCTGTACAGAAACAAACGCAAGCAAATTATAGGCACCAAAGACAGCAAGGACTTGTGTTTCTAAATGAACATCCACAATATATTAATATAGAAATGTATACCATTTGGGATCACAACTTGTTTAACTGCAATAAATGTATTTTTCAATATAAAAATTATAAAAAATCTGGAATATTAACTCACCAAATGATTCATTTACAGGTAGGTATGCCTTCACAACAAATATAGGTGTCCCAGCCACTTGAGACTCCTCAAACACATGGCCTCTCTTTCTGTTCAGCACACCATAGATGCCACCAACCACCTGCTCCGGGCACTGAAGGAGAGAAGGAAATATATTAACATCGTCAAGATTACACTAATTTTTCCGTTCCAGCAATCTACCACGTGTACCTGAATCTCGACCAGGTAAATGGGCTCCATGAGTCTTGGCTGTGCAGTGAGCACAGAAGCGTACAGAACTCTGCGGGCTGTGGGAATGATCTGACCGCCACCTCTATGAATGGCATCAGCATGAAGAGTGACATCATGAATGTCAAATCGGACCGCCCGCATATTCTCTTCACAGAGTGCACCCTGGTAAAGTAACACATAATAGTATCTCATTGCTGTAGGAAAGACGAAGCATAAATCCTTAAACTGTCTACTCACTTCTTTGGTTGCCCACTGAAAACCAGCCACTACGCTGTCCTTTATCTCATTCAGATACTGAACTCCCTTTGTGATATCCATAAGGATGTTGGGCCCTGTGCCATCTGGTCCAAAACACCAAATCTTACGGGCCTCAGCAACCTCCCACTCGTATTTCTCAGCCAGGTAGCGAGCTCTCTGTTTGAGCTCCTGCCGAGCGGTCACGTCACCCTTGTCGATGTCCTCAGCCAGGCCATCTGGGAAGGGCCGAGATTTCATGTACAGACGATTGTGCTTGTTGGGAGACTTGGACAAGCAAACCTGGTCTGATTCGTCGCTGACGGTTTCGCGATATGACACAACTGGGTCTGATTTCTGCAAAAAATTGCCTCAAGCTGTTAGTGGAAAAACTTAAAAAAATATCTGTAACCTTGTCAGTATTATCACCCAAGCACTACCTTCAAAGGGATGCAGGCATGATCTTCCTCGAGGTCTTTTAGGCAAATCTCCAGATGAAGCTCTCCAGCACCTGCCACAATGTGCTCACCAGACTCTTCAATGATACACTAGGAGAAGAAATTAGTGTTTATTTTTGTAAAGACTGAATTTTGATTATACCATCTTATTACCTTGCTAAGACATTCACCTGAACCATGGGATCAGACTTGGCCAGACGTTTAAGGCCCTCCACCAGCTTTGGCAGATCAGCTGGGTTCTTGGCCTCCACAGCAACTCTCACCACAGGACTAACGCTGAACTTCATAACACGCATGTTGTGAGAATTTTCAAAAGTGGTAATGGTGCCAGTCTTCACCAGGAACTGATCGACCCCAACCAAACCAACAATGTTCCCACATGGCACATCTTCAATGGGTTCTACGTAGCGACCCATCATTAAGATAGTTCTGAGGAGGACATAGCATGATCAACATGTTAATAAGGGTAATGATCATCAAATCAGTTGAGGATGATTTGTTGAGGATGTACTGTATATGTAATTGACAGCAGCAAACCTTTGGATTGGCTTTAAGTACAAGTCCTCCTTTTTTCCTGGTGTGAAGTTTGGGCCCATGATGCGCACCTTCTGCCCTGTAGAAACGACACCAGAGAAGACACGACCAAAAGCATAGAATCTACCCTTGTCGGTGGTTGGCACCATCTTGGAGATGTACATCATGAGAGGAGCTTTAGGATCACAGTTCTTTATACCTGGAAAGTCAAAAACAGGTTGAATGTGAAAAGGCTGGCAAAAAGGGATCTCCCTGAAGTGTCAAACACCTCGCAATGTTGTGACTTACCCATGGCAGCCTCATCATCTCCAGGACCCTCGTAAAGCAGTTCACAGCGGTACCTTTGGGCAGTGACAGGAGAAGGAAGATGGATGGTGATCATCTGGAGCAAAGCGTCACCTGCAGGCAACCAGCGGCGCATCACAGCCTGGAAGCATTGAAACAACCATACATCAACAAAGACAAAAGTAGAATTAGGGTGCAGATTCTCAAAAGTTTAGTTCTTTAGTTATACCTTAAGAAGAGGTTTTCCTTCCTTTTGTTTGTCTTCTGCATCAAGCTTTACTTCAAGTTTCTCAATCAGTTTCTGGGTCTCTTCTTTTTTGAAATTCATAATGGCATCAAAAACCTGTGGAAAGGGTTCAAATGAGAGAGGGATTGTAAACGAGTCATAGTAGTGAGAGATGAGTGCGTTTAAAACCGATTTAAACTCAAACCTTAAAGATTGGATCCAAGACAAGCTGGCAGAAGGTACGAGGAAGCTTCTTTCCATCTGCATTGGTTGCTGATTTGCTGAACTTTCCACAGGAGGGATCAAAGTACCTGAAAAAGATTGCATTGAGTTAAAGAATATTTTATACACACAATTTATACTGGAAATCACTCCAGTGTTCCAGTGTCTCCTTTATAACAAGTAAGACACTTACTTATCTCCCCAAAGCTTTTTCATCATCTCCTCCACTTTCTTAGCCCGTTCTACTGGAGAAAGTTCTGCTTTTTTCTTATCTCCCTTGGCAGCAAACTTGGCCACGTACATCTCAGCAAACTGCTTCAGAGTAAAAGCCCAGCCATGGAGGCCTGATCCAAATCCCACAGTCCCAACCACAGGATCCACCTAAGGTAACCCCAAAATCAGTAAGCAACATGTAGATAAAAGCAAACGTTTTACTCATAAAGTTGACTTATCAGTCTCAACTGCTACTTACCATAATGTTTCCCATTGGTCCATGCTCTCCTTCTCCATAGGTTGAGATAATGACATTAACATTCTCCACAATCCTTTGGAAGGTTTGGCAAAGCTCATCCGGTTCTAGCTGCAACTCAAGGAGGGCACGATCCATCTTGTTCATCATCAAGACAGGCTTGATGCGCTCTGCAATGGCTTGTCTCAAGACGGTTTCAGTCTGCACACATACACCTGTGGAACAATTCAAATTTTGCCTATTTAAACTAACTTTCTGGTCAGACGTCGAAATATTATCATAAGGTGATGAAACAATTTGTGTGGTGGATACTTTAATGTTGTTGAATGTTCTTATTGCATTTCAGAGGATTGCCTTAATTAGAGAAACAGAAGTGTGAACTTGATATCGAAAATTAATTTGCCTTACCTGATACACAGTCTACCACTACAAGGGCACCATCTGTAACTCTCAGAGCTGCTGTCACCTCAGAGGAGAAGTCAACATGTCCCGGTGAGTCGATCAGGTTGATCAGGAAGCCAAAACCATCCTTACACTGCTTAATGAAGGCTGAGTCATTCTCACTGAGCTCATAATATAGAGAGATGGCCCTGTGAGGGATACATATATGTAGAGGGTTTCAGAAATGTCATTTTGGTATTTCCTGGGTAAGTGAACACTGGAGCTAGTTGTTAAAAGTTCCATATCTCAATAACTGTAAAATTTTAAATCAACAGTTCACAAATGTGTGTTGACTCTGCTAATGGTTTTATATGTTCATTTAAAATCTTAACTGTGATAAAAAGCCTATAATATACTGTTTAATGGTGGGTTCCATTGTGACAACATACCCTGTACCTTTCTATAAAAAAATATTTTTGTTTCTTTTCTTTCTTTTTTAAAGAAATTAATACTTTGTGAGGATATATTACATAGATAAAATATTACCTAAATTAATTCTAATAAACTCTATTCATTTAAACTTTCTATTCATCAAAGAATCCTGGAAAAAACATTAAGCAGCACAACATTGATAATAATAATAAATGTTCCTTCAGCACCAGATCAGCATACAGCGGGTAAAATAAGTATTGAACACATCACCATTTTTCTCAGTAAATAATATTTAAAAATATATATATTTCTAACGGTGCATGCAGATGTCGGTAACAACCCAAGTAATCCATGCATACAAATAAAACAATACAAATAAGAAATCAGAAATTAAGTTATGTGGGTAACACTTTACATTAAGGTTCCCTTTATAAAGGGTTTATAAAGGTGTTAATAAATTACTAATAACTTGCTTACAAATGCATTATAAATCATTGATAAGCAGTTATAAATGCATGAGTAAAAGGGGGATTTTAATGTAATACCTGCCAAATAGTGAGCCATTTTTAACTCACATGTTATAAATGCTTAACACATATATTTATAAATACTTATTTCACTCAAAACCAGATTTCTGATTTATTTCATGATGCAGCAAAAAAATATTATTATAGCAAGACTGAAGGGTGTTGTATTTATGGTTTTCTCATTTATATCTCATGACTCGTGTCACTTTTCTTACAATGTTTCTTACCAGAATCTACTCTGTACCTTACCCATGATTCTCCGCAGAAGTTTATGATGCCTATCCACAGCAATGATTAGAAACTGATATATTTTGTTTATCAAGATGAAATTATCATCTTGATTTTTATTTTGGGGAAAAACTAATAAAAGCACACCCATGACTTGAGATGCTAATATTGAAAATTTTTAATTCCAATATTACCTGTGAACCTTAATGTAATGAGCCATTTATTAATGATTTATAAATGTTAATAACGTGTGAAAGTGAACCTTAATGTAAAGTGAA